CTATTAAGATTTGTAGTTTATTCACAAGTTGGAGGGGTTAAGTAAAATCCGTAAAAGTAAAGGGGTGAAGTAAGATCGAGGCTTGGTATAGGAGGAATATTATCATTCTTCTTCTCCAAACTACAAGCCGTTATCGTTCAGAGAAGCTCTCACAATGAGAAAGTTCTTCTAAGAAATGATCTGTCTGTTTGTTTGATGAGGTTTTGATTGGATGTCTTGTGCTGTTGCAGATTTCAAGTATTAGAAAGAATCAGACTCCGTTTTAGTAGTGAACAACGATGATTATGCAAGTGCAAAATAAAGAAACCAATCAAGAAGATGGAGGATGGTGATTAAACGTTCAACTTTGGTCGATCAAGTCCTTTCTACTTCATCAATGGAAAGAAATCAAATTGTAAGAAGGGTCAAAAAATGATCATCGTTGTTTTGGCAGAGAGGAACCAACCCAAGTCTCCATCCCTCCATCTCCCTCTCTGGCTGCCAGAGCACCGATTGGTCACACTCTGGTAGTTAAACCTCCCAAAGGGTCTACACCCATGTCCCCCTCTCTCACTATGACACCTAAGTCACCTTCTTCGACAACCCACAACCAATAACCCAATGCCTTCTCTGGCTACTACTAAGTCTCCATCATCGCCTTCTCAGTCTGGTAAGAGTAGAGTGACAATATAGTATTGCAATACAAGTGATTTTACGGAGTTACAATATAGAGTTTAATATTCTAAATACCTTATTTCTAGTTTTTGTACATCCACACTAGGCATTTTAAAAAAAAAAGTGGTTCACCCAAAAAAAAAAAAAAAACCCTAGTGTGATTCACCCAAAAAAAAAAAAAAACACCCTAGTGTGATTCACCCATACTCAGCATTATGGTTGTTCTCTTCGTATAGAGTGAATTGATAGTGTGATACTATCTTGATATTTCAATTTATAGACAATTTGGCTTCATAGTGTAACTTTGTATTATTATTTTTCTATTAAACTCCTAAATTTTAGGTTTTTCTCATATTATATATTTTAACACATATATGCCTGATCAAATTAAATATAAAGCAAAATCAAAATTCCTTAATTTTAGTACTTTCTAAGATAAGACAACTAAAATTCCTTTATTTTATTTGTCAGATTTCAAAGGTTTCCAAAAATTTTGAAACATATCCCTAAAATATGAAATAAGGAGATAGGGGGAGAGAGAGAGAGAGAAAGAGAGAGGCGATGGCTATGGGGAAGATTTATTATGTATTTTGATTTTCTAAACCGTTTTAGGTAACTGCTATATATTAAAAGAGTATTCAAGTTTTTTTAAATCACTAGATCACTTTTTTACAAAAAAATTTTCACTATGAAATTATCCACTAATTAGTCTAATTTGATGTATTGACTTCCGAAGGACCTTATTTTTTTGTGCTAAAAATTAAAAGTGAATATAGTTTAAGTTTAATTAAGATAATGCCCTACTCCAAGTTTTGATCATATTGTAATTAACTCCCTTAAGTTTTAATTTTTATAATTTACCCCCTTAAAATTTTTATAGAACAAATTAATTGATAGATTGGATAAAAAAATACAATTTTTTTCAAAATAACCCAACCTTTAATAGTCTCTTTCTTTTTTTCCTAGCCAAAACATAACCCCCCTCTATCATTCCCCAATAATGGCGGTTCGCAAACCCTTCCCCAACTTCGGTGCCCCCTCCCCCGCAAACCCTTTTACCAGCTCCCTTCCGCAACTTCGGTGCTCCCTCCCTCGCAAACCCTTTTACCAGCTCCGGTCGCCTCCAACCCACTTACCCAACTCTAGCGGCACCCCTAACCCCTTATCCAATTCCAGCAAAACCCACACCCCCATACCAACTCTAGCAACCCCCCTCCCCAACTCTACCGGTACCCCCAAATAGGGGTGTCAAATGTGTCGAATTGGGTCATTTCGTGTTGGGTTAATTTTGACTTTGTGTCGAAAGTTTCAAAACTCAAACCTGACATGTTTAATAATTGTGTCAAAATTTGTAAACACTAACCTGACTTGACTATTAAGCAAGTTATCCAAACCTGACCTATTTGACACGTTTAATAAACAGGTCGTTTTCGAGTAACATACATAACATAATTTGTTTAACTTTTTAGCACATATAACATAAACTTGTTTAACACACATAACATATTTTCACACTAGTTCATTACCATTAAATACATCATTCAATCATCATCTAAAATTTTAAATAATTTTTTTACAAATAACATATCACATCTCATAAATGAAATTAACTAAAACGCATTTAAGTTTCAACTCAAAAATTAAATTAAGAACTATATTGGTATACTGTCATAATAATGTTAAGAACTATAATGTCAATTAATATAGTAGAAACAAGAACTAATAAGTAATAATGTTAATACTACATCAGTTATACATAATAGACAAATTATATTGCCATAAATAGGTTAAACATGTCTACAATGGATTAGGTAAAGTTCGTGTCCGAATCGTATTAATCCGTTTAAAACATACGAGTTAATTAGGTCAAAATCGGGTTGACCTGATTTTGACATGAATCTGACATGATTTTTTTCATGTTTAAGCGTTTTAACCCGTTTTAACTCATTTAATTTTGTGTCCGACTCATTAATTTCGTATTCAATTCGTGACGTGTTAACGTGTCGTATCGAAAATTGATAACCCTACCCCCAAACCTTATACTTAGCTCCAGCATCCCTTCAACTCCATACCCAACACTAATAGTATTCCCTAACTCATACACATACCTCCAATAGCCCTTCACCTCTACACTCAACACAAGACATCCCCTCAATCCCCAATCCCATCTTTGACAATCCCCCACCACTATCTAATAAGAAAATCCAACACCTAAAAACATCCTCCTTTTTCTTTTTCGTTCTTCTCCAACCAATAAACCACAACAACTAGCTGATTAATCGTGTGTGTATGTATATTGATAATGATGGATTTTAGCTTGGGCTGCCCATTCAAAGCCCAAAAACACCTGATGGGCCCCCTTGTTACATGGCAACTTAATCGCCCACCCACAACGTGCCCGCTTCGTTATGAAAGTAGGTCAAAGCTCAAGGCAGGAAGTCCAGTAACGTCTAGCTCGGTATATGTTTGCTCGGTCATCTCAAGCAAGGCGAAGAGGGCCACCTTGGGAACTAGAAGCTTGATACGAGATAAATCTCAAGTAACTCCCGTCGCGCCACGTGTCCAGGGGATAGGGGGACAATTTCTGGTGACCATATATTCCCTAGTAAAGGGAATATTTGTATAGATTTTGTTTTGAGGATCATGGATACAACTTGTGTCAGACTGATAGACTCCACTACAGGACAAATGAAAAGAGGACCACAGAATCAGTCGAGAGAAGGAAGAACCGCAAAAAATCCTAGATGACCACATGTATAAATATAAGACTAGATCACTATAAAAGGAGAGCTCAAAAGTTTTATGTACAATATACTGTGTAAGAAGAGACTCTCGAGTAAGTAACCTACTGTAACTATTGTCTTCTTTCTCAAGCAATACAAATCCAAAGGGCAAAAGCCTCCATTACAGTGGATGTAGCCTTAGTATTTTGGTTAAGGTAAACCACTTATATTTTGTTTTTTAATCCAACATCGACACTTACTTTCTTATTAACCCAACATTCACAAAGCCCCCATTGGCTCATACATAGTCATTGTTCTGCAGTTGGGTATAATAATGTAGAGCACCATCATATACAAATTTTCTCTCTCTCTCTCTCTCTCAAGATGGATAGTGTATGGTAAAGTTCTTTTAGGGGAGTTTCGTTTGGAGTCTACTGTTAGAGGGCGTTGTTAACAGTATGCCCAAAGTTCAACGTACAAGTGATATTAGGGTTGCACTAACTATTTATAAATTAAATACAAGGGCAAATTAATTATTATGTTACTGTCTAATTTTTATTCTAACATGTATGATAAAGTTCACAAAGTATAAGTTAAGAAGATAGTTTCTCAAGTTGTTGAGAAGATGAGACTTATACTTCTTAGTACTTAAATGTTAAATGTTCTTAGTCATAGGATTATTATATGGGCACTATTTAATCTGGATAGACTAGTATACACTATTTACTTATATTTGATATGAGTTGATCCGTCCAAGTCACTAGTGTAGGAAAACTGCAACATGTGTGTGGGTTTTTTTTAGAGAACAAGTTCACTGAATGTGACTATTAACTAACATAGGATTTTTCATATAGAGTTTTATATATCTGTTAATGTTAAATCCTAAAGTAATAAGTATGCAACTGATCCTTCAACTTGGGACACTATAGTAATTTTGTGCATAGACATTTATATTTTAACTATGCAACATATTCATATACTAATCATTTAACTTAAATATGCATTATCAGAGATAGTTAGACATGCATGAAGACTTATAAGTATACAACATGAAATCTATCACCCTTAATATATAGAGGGAGAATGTCTATGTGTTCTTTTAAGATTTGACTCAAGGAGTCATAGGCCAAGGCAAAATGCAATTATAAAAAAGTTTCTAACTGATCATTAAAAGTTGTAGTCCTAAAATCAAACACATAAAATTGAGTTAGGGGTTTGACAATAATTCAATTGGGACATTATGTGACAGAAATATTGAATTGTATGATAAATGTAGATTGTTTGAGTTCTTTTACCTACTTTGTATTATTCAAAAGTTGATTATGATATGTTGTTAAGTGTCATTCATGATTAGCGGAAGCTAGAAAAATGACTTAATATATATTTATTAATTGTTTTTCATAAAAGAAAAATTAGAAGAGTTCTAATTCAAGCTCAATTAAAGAGAATTCTAATTTGAAATGCTACTTCTTCTAATTCAAGCACAATTAAGAACAAACCCACCAACTTTTAACAGAAAAAATACATAAATTTATGTGGCTGGGATCTAAATCCTATATTAATGGCAAAGGATGACAACAAAGTTTCACTAAGAATCTGGAAACACCGTCAGTTTCCTGGCATTCAGACGTTGTTTTGGTCTTGAGGCTCTTGACCCTCGCCTTCATTCATAGTTCTTCTTGCCCTTTTCTTTACGAATTTTCTCCCCTTCTTGACGACCCACCTGATAAAGTTGAAAGTGTGCACTACGTAGACAACAGCCATCACTCCCTCCCAAACATAAATCCATCTCCGAACCCTATTCTTCATAGTCCTCCACTCATCCAATGGTGAAATGACTTCCATTGAGATCAAATAAGCTTGTGTCATACAAACCAATGCCGTGTACATTGCAGCCAATAGAACCCACGAGACAAACCTTCCTTCCAGAGGTATTCCACTGACCAGCAAAAGAAGCATACTTAGAGAAGCAAGAAAAGACAGTGTGTTGAAGTCCCAGAACTCAGTATATAAGCCAGATTGATTCACAAAAGCCATAATGGATGTTCCTGCAGAAGCAAGTACTTTCTCATTGTTTTGAGGATCTAATTTATCTTCTTGCCAAACGCCACCAGGTGGGTTCACCGCAGCTTGGTAAGCCATGGCCGCTATCACAGTCGCCACTAACATTAACGAATCGGTTTTGAGGGTGGTCCTCGTACCAGCATGAAATTTCGTGTGAAAATCACTTATTACCCGCGTGATGTTGCGATATACGATTTGAAGAATGCTGTTGGATTTTGAAAGTGGTTGTCGTGCGTCGTCTACTGCCTCACGGGGCTCTTCTGCTTGGGATAGCTCATTCTGAACATCTTCTCTGGTGAGCTGGTGGGGGGTGTTAGTATGTGCGAATGCAGGTATGTTTCTAGCTCCTAAAGCTCCAGCTTTGACAAGCAGTTCATGGATTTCCATTGCTTTTAAGTCTCTAGACATATGTTTTATGATATCCAATGCTGTGAAACCATAGCCATTCACTTCATTCACTCTTGACCTAGATGATCCACTGAGCAAAAATTTGATAGTCTGCACAGATTTTTAAGAAATGGTGATAGAATGAATTGTAACCTCATTTTCCACGATGAGTAAATATTAGTCCGAGCTAAAAAATTAATCTAATTTGATAACATAATAATATGTCAAGTGATGGTTGATAACATAACGATGTGTCAAGTGATGGTGGTCCAATAAAGAAGTCTAGGAGTTACGGTCGCAATAACACTATTAGACAAACATAATATATCAATTTTTCATGTTCTAATAACATTACTTTCAAAGATATTTTACATAATTTTCTTAAAATTGTTATTGTTGGAACCACATCCACATGAGCAGGGCATGGTGCAATCCCGCATTGAATGGGTAAACAAAGTGAATAGGGTTATTATACTAAGTTTGAAACTCATCGCTCTGAACTTGAGCTTATGTTTTTGGGTTAAGTTTAAATTCAACTTGTATATTAAAGAAAAAAAAAGTTAATAATTGCAACAGCGAAAAATATATAGGAAAGGGGCAGTAGCAAGTGTTCCACCAAGAAAATACCCAAATAAGAAAATACGAACCATATGAGGGGAGTGTTGGAACCACATGTGAGCAGGTGAAGCGTATTCCCACATCGAATGGGAAAGAAAATAAAATTGGTTAATATACAAAGCTCCAAACTTATCACCTTCAGCTTGATGTGTATAAGCCCGAATCTTAACAGATATGGTTTCGTAATTTTTTCATATTTATATGTATTTTTTCAATATTACAAGCATCAAGAACACTAAAGATTTCACATGTACTTAAAAATTTGATATAATTTATTAATTAATTAACTATGAAAAAGTAATTTCAATCGAAATAAAAAAATAGGCGTTTCGAAACTTGAAAAACAACAAGAAAAAGGCTAAGGATATCAAATTAATACATGCTGGAAAACTCCAAGTACCTCCAATTGCTTTTGTGCCGTAGCTGTATGCAAAATGGTGTTGCCATTGTCATCTTTGACATTTACAAGATCATCATTTCCACACAACTCCACCAACAGCTTCAGAGCTTCGAAACGATTATATGTCACGCACAAGTGTAAAATGGTCTCGCCCCCTTCCAAGCCGTACCAAATCACCTCCGGTCGTGCCTGAATCAACTCTTTAACAACCTCAATTCGACCTTTCATCACCGCCAGATGAAGAGGAGTCCTCCGATCTTCGTCGCGAAGAAGACAGACATCGGAGTCCACCATTAACAAAACTTTCACGATCTCAACAAACCCATTTGCAGAAGAAACATGAAGAGGTGAACAACCTTGCGAATCGATTTCTCTGACCAGGTCTGGCTTATAATGCAGGAGAGCTTTTGCAAAGTCGACATGTCCGAGCATGGAGGCTATGTGCAAGGGTGTCTCATTGAAGCAAGTGACGACAGAAGCTCTGGCAAGAGTGAGTCTATCTTCTTGCATTAACTCGTTCAAGGACTCTACATTTCCACTCAATGATGCTTCGTAAACCCTTTTCTCTCTCATCAATCTGTCTCTTCCCTCCATTGATGATAAAGTAAAAAGCCTATAATGTATTTTTCGTCTTTAAATCAGTTCGGATTTCAGAATAACTTTCTTCCCAAATTTTTCACTTCTCTTTATGCCTGCGTTTGTCAATGTCTTTCCGCGTATGTGAAACAGAAGACACATGCATTTGGAGAGTAATGCAACGAAGACAGCATGCAGTTTCGTAAGATTTTCGCGACAAGTTCAAGCGACGACTCATAAGAACATACCAGACGGCTCAACACAATTGAGGCCTAAAACAGGAATATTAAGTGGGTTTTTTTTTTATTTTTAATATTATTTTTTAAAAAAATTAATTTATTTTTAATTTTTTATGTGAGAGGGGGACAAAAAAAGAATGTATTAATATTGTTGAAAAAGAGATTTCAATTTTTGTTTTTATTTTTTACCGGAGAAAGAGATTGAGTGGGAATAAATATGAGTTGATTTTTGAGTTTTTTTTTTATTTTTTTAATTTCTAAGTTTTTAATGTTATGGATTGAATCATTTATCCAAATTATTGCAATAAAACTTTTGATTAGATTTAATTTTTTTTTGACTTTTTTGTAGGACTTTAAGTTTAATGAATTTAATTTTTTTTTGTGAATTAGTCATATACCTAAAATTATAAGACCTTTTAAAAACTTGGGACCCAAAACTCATGTTTTTTTTCCCATAAAACGACATCAACCTACTAAGGAGTCCCAGCGAGTTGAAGGTGTTTTTTTTTTTTTAATTTATATATATATATAGAAAAAAAGAAATAGGATATATTTCGGGCATTTAATCGAGAGCCTAATTTATTTATTTATTTGTTTAATTAGTTGCGAGTTTTAAAATTAAATAGAATTCAGTTTTTTATAGTCCAGAATAGACTAAGTTTAGAATTTGGAACAAATAGTACTATTTTTTTTTTTTTTAAAAAAAAAAAGCTAAACATTATTCAGATCCCATGGTAATGATATCATTCAAAGATTGATATATTTCTTTATACAATTAATAAAAGGGGAGTAGAGAGTTTAATATCCACTTTTAAAATAAAGTTATTCTATGCATACCAAGTTATTCTACACATACCAATTCTTGATATGTGTAATCATATATCGTATAGTATTTTTGACAAACTTCAAAGAAAATAAATTTACTATACGATATATGACTTGTAATTTATAAACAGTCAATTATTTTTTTTTCTTTTTTTTTTTTTGTAATGGAAAATCTGAAAATAAATTTATAAAATAGTAATTAAACATGTCCTCATATGATTGACAATGTAATAATGTTATAAACTAAGAACCCTATTGCATATAATATAAGGGTGTATACGAAATTTATTTATAAATAATCCTAATCTCATTGTTGAGTGTCGGAGGAGGGTATTTGCTAATTATTTTTGACAAAAGCCTCAAAGATTTTCTTTGTCCGAATTTTCAAAATAGCCTAAAATGTGTATTGAAGTTGATAGTCATCGCTATCGAATTGTCTTTGATTTTCTTTGTCCATTTTGGTGGCCTGATTGGTCTTAGATTTCATTTTGTCTTGGTTCTCTTTGTCAAGGAAATATTGTCTACATACTCCTGCAGTAAAAAAAAATGAGGATTTTCTTATGTCTCATGCCTTGTTGTCTTATCGCACGCCTTGTGTCTTGCAAGGCTTACCTTAATTTATTTATACCTTACAAAAAGAGAAAGAAAATTGGTATGTGATTGATAGTCTTCAAACCCGCGTCGTGGACATGATAAGGTCTTCCTTTTATCAATTGGACTGACCCTTGAGTTAGAAAGGGAATGATCGTTGGTGGAACGTGTAAATGAAATCAATCAGGCACTGTTAGGTTTGTATGCATGGTTTGGTTTTTGATGTATTTTAGCTTTGTATTAGGGTAATAAACAAGTTGTTAAATAGATTAGGTTAATAGTCATTCGAGAAAGAAGATGACTTGTCGATTATTTGCAGTGCAAAGGAGAGAGAAGCAAGAAGAGCAGGACCCTGACCTTGTGCTCGGATCTCTTTGTTGATTTCCTTGAACTGCTAAGCTTGTGTTGTTATTACCTTGATGAGCGGGGGTGTCTATGGCGGGGTGACTCAAGGTAATTTGAAGTCTAAAACGGTAATATTAAATGGGATTTTTTTTTATTTTTAATATTTTTTTAAAAAAACAAAAAATATTTTAAATATTTTTTAAGTGAGAGAGAATGATGTGATACTTTGTTTTTGTTTTGTAAGAGAGAGAGTAAATGTGAATAAATATGAGTTGAGTTTTGAATTTTTTTGTATTTATTTTTAAAATTTTTTATTTTTGAATTTCTTATGTTATGAATTGAATTATAGGTCCAAATTATTGAAATTATAATTTTTTGATTGGACTTAAATTTTTTGGGGCCTTTTGTAAGGCCTAAAATTTTCATAGATTTAAATTTTTTTATGTGAACTAGTTATGAATCTAAAATTATGGGGCCTTTTAAAAATTTGGGGCATAAAGCCCATGCTTTTTTTTTAATAGTGTTGGGCCGACCTTGGTCCATGGGCTGGGTCGGATTACGGCCACGAAATTTTTTTTTGTCAAATCTGGATAGTGTAAGTTCAAGTTCTTATCCAAGTGAATTACAGGTCGGGCCGGACTTCGGGTAGGGGTAGACTATCCGCAGCCCAACCCATGAGCTTATTGAGCGAGCTTATTGGGCAGGACTGCTTGCGTGCTTTTTAACTACATCTAAAATAATGAATATTTTTGTTACTTAATATTTGTGTAAATTATATTTTTGAATCAAAAGTATAGTCAAAATGGATAAAAATAAAATAATTAATAATTTTATTTTTGATTAGGAAATAAATTACATCTAATAGAATGAATATAACCCAACTAAGTTGACACCTACTCACTTATCTATCTTTTGCATTATTCTATCATTTAAAAATTGTATGCTTAATACAAAGAAAATAATACATTATTTATAGTATCTAAATTTTTAAAATTTCAAATTTTAACATTAAAAGACTTATTTCAAAATTTCAAATTTAATGGTCTAAAAGTATATTTTTTTTTAAAAGAAGGGTGGACAGACTGTTGGGCCGATTTTTAACGGGTTTTTTTTTTGCCGGGCTATTGGGCCGGGCTTTTAGCTAGGTAATGGGTTTTGGGACAAACTCAAATCCTCTCTTTAAGGATTTTGGATTCGGGCTCGGGCAGACCAACTATTGATCCTATCAGATTTCAGACATATTTTTTTTAGGCCGAACAATGGGACCGTGGATAACTCGGACCATGGACACCCTTACGTGTTATCATCAACTAATAATAATATATTATATGTGTTGAGTTAAATGGTCACAAGTCGAGTTTTATCAGGTTCATGTGAAAAATTAATAACTTCGTACACGACTCGTTTAAGTAAACAGGAGAAAATCTTTAAACTAAACACAATTTGTTTATTAAGCAGGTTACATGACATGACTTGTTTCACAAACGAATCAAGTTAGATATGGTCGTATTAACACAATAATCCTTTTAACCTTATCACCCATTGGACCTGTTTACTTGAATATTCTTTGAAAAATTATTATTAATTTTTTTTTAAATTGGTCTAACTTATTTTGGCTAAATTTTTTTAAAAAATAATTATTAAACCAAACACGACATGTTTATTAAACATATTTGACGAATTATTTACTTTACAATATCGCTCATACATCTCTATTTAGTGAAATTGTTTAAAGTCCTTGAAGTTTCAGGCATAGAAACTGATGGGTTAAGCCCAAATAGTCCAATTTATGTGTTAAAGTCCAACCCCAGTTGAGGAGCCCAACCTCATTTTGATTCCACCAAGCCCAAGACAGTCCAAGACCGGTTAGACTTTTTGCTTAGCACGTCACCAAGAGGAGAGCATGGGAAGCTTATCTGCACCACCAAAGGAAACGGTCCAAATCCACCAAGTCCAAGACAGTCCAAGACCGGTTAGACTTTTTGCTTAGCACGTCATCAAGAGGAGAGCATGGGAAGCTTATCTGCACCACCGAAGGAAACGGTCCAATCTTTGACCACGTTTCATGAAGAGCTCCCCAACCTCCTCCTTCCGTTGAGGATAAGTCGTGATCTCCACCAAGAATAATCTCTTAGATGCGATAAAGAAACCTTGAGGATAAGTCGTGATCTCCACCAAGAATAATTTTTTAGCTGCTATAAAATAGCTCCAATCTGGTAAAAGAGGGAGAGGAAGGTCACGCCCCCGACTACCGGAGATTACTATTTCTTTGATTCTCCATTCTCTCTCTCAAAGCTTGTATCTCTATTCTCCATACCTTTGAATCAATAAAATACCCGGCAACTGAAGCCATTGAAGAGTGGACGTAGGTCGAATTGACCGAACCACTATAAATTGTGTCTTCTTTAATTTTCTCATTAATTTCATTGCATTTATTACATACATTTGACAGGTGGTGTGCAAAACCATTTTTGTGCATCATCAGTTTGGCGCCGTCTGTGGGAATCGACAAAATTCTCACTCCTGAACATTACATCCATTAACTAATGGCGATCACTACTCGATCCATGAACCAACACGAAGACAATCCTCCACGAGAGGAGGAGGTTGCTCCCCCGCCTATCAACCCTGTTCCGGATACTCTAGCCCCGAATCCCCAACAAATATTGGAGACCATGCAGCAACTGGTTGCTCAAAACCAACAGTTACTGCAACTCATACTTGCTGGACAAGGAGGAGCACCACACGGAGGTGCACAACATGGAGGACCCCAAGGTGGAGCACCACACGGAGGTGCACAACGTGGAGCACCACACGGAGGTGCACAACATGGAGGGCCCCACGGAGGTGCACAACATAGAGCACCCCAAGGAGCTCCACATCCTGGACATCAAGGAGCACCACGCCCTGTTGCTCCACGCCCGGGTGCCCCATTGGGCACCCCACTTCGGGAAGCCCAACATGAGGGAGCTGCACCTCCCCCTCCCCTTGCTTTCCAGGGAGAGGACCCTTATCTCC